AGACAATGAACAGGAAGCGTTTATTTCTGTGGACACTTCAAATATTGTTTTGTTGCAAATAGCTTCATATTCATGTGCGTGCTCCGCTACAGTAAAACACAATCAGCTGCCAAACACAGAAAAGCCTACACAGCTTTATAATGAAAGATCTATTTAGTAAAACCCCATTTTAATTGAAACCATTTATCCTTTAAAGAGGCATTTAGTAAGAGAGATATCCTAACATTTAGACAGTATTGCAGGGTATACGCAGGCATGACGTATGACAATTTCCATGAGTGGATGGAGTAATGGAATAAGGGATACATCCCTCAAAATCTGCACCTCTACTGTGGCTAATGTTAATTCCATAATGATCCTTACTCCCTGAAGTAGAAGCAGCAGAAGTTAAGTTAACCTGCGAGTACTACTGGTCTGTTTTTGGGTGAACTAAGAGCAGGGAGGTGCTGGACAGGCTGCTTTAAAACACAATTTGGGGCATAAATGAATCTATAGTATGAAAATAATATACACTATACACTGTCTTTGGTCACTGGTTCCCAAAACCCTGTCCTACAATTCCCTTAATGCAACTCATTATGCATCCTCTTCCATTAGACCCTCCCTGTCTGGTAAACATATGTCTTTCAAAGTCCATCCTCTAAGTTCTGTTAAAGATGTAAAGCAGAGGACGATTTCTGGCACAACTTCCAAGCGTTGAGAAGGGAAAAAAAGGTCTTCAGAGACACTTTTAGGAGATTTCAGATCGCTGCCTTCATCAAGGTCATCATAAAACACAGTTAAGCAGTTCTTTATTAAAAGGTTGCTGGAGCTGCAACACTGTTTAACATTTGACATCTCAAGCATAATTAAAGCTAGCCATGGTGAGAGGGTTGTATTAAAAAGCATCTTTCAGAGTCACAGAACACAATATCCAAGTTAACCTGTAAAGTCTGTGGCGTGTTCCCATTAACTCATAGTTTGCAGTACAGCAGTTCAATATATTACAATACATTTTTATTGCATCTCTCAGATATGTTTTATTTATCATCCTGCCACTCCAACTACACCTACTACAACTGGTTTTATTTTACAAATCGATGCATGTTAAAGCCTACGGCATTAAATATCCACGAATGAATAAGCGATAATTAAAGTCTAAGTTTGGAAGAAAAACATCCTTAGTTATTATTTATTCAGTGTTAAAAATCCAACCTTGCTGCAGCATCTGGATGGCGGGGGCGTTGTTTGATCAGGTTTCACTGATTGTGCCTGTCAACGTTTGCAAACAAACCACACGACTGTCATCAGATTGTGATTTGAAACGTGCTAATCTTTCATTGGTGCGTGGAAATATCGCTATCACCCTTTTTTCCAACTGAGGACTTCCCACTTCAAACCAGCACTTTAAAAGAAAATTTAATAAAATCACAAACAGAGAAATATTTAATTAAAAATCACCAAAGAACTCTGGCAGAAAATTGCGACCGCATATGAAGCTGATTGAGAAAATCTGTTTTCAGCTTTCATGTGTAAGCTGCTATTTTTGTATCTTGATAATCAAGCATGTTTTTGGATCTGTTACACCCGTGCAGCCACTGGAAAACTTTTTTATAGACTGTAGCTAGGGGTTGATAAAACACACAGCAGGGCAGTTCCTAAATAAGAAGTTCAGACTGTACGACTGAGTTGTCCATTAACAAACCGTTGGGTGGAAATTATGAGCAGCGGTTTCAGGAAAAAGGCTGTTAAAGCCACAAAGAGACAATATAACCTTTAAGGTATCAGTTGACTCGTGCTGCTGCTGCTGGGAAACCAAATGCACAATCGTTATCTCAGATGCAAATTTATGAAGAACGTCTTTCAATTTGCATTTATTAAAGCATTCAGATACTGTAGCTGTCGAGGGTGGCGGCTGTTGGGTTTTGCAGTAATGCTGATTCATCCTCTGGGCAGCTCAGTTTCCTGTGTGCTACATTCACCAGTTTGCGGACATTTTACGGGTAAAGGAAGAGTTTTTATTTGTAACTTTTGACCGTGAACTCCTCTTTAATTCACACCTGTCGTCTCTCGAAGCAGGTGTCCAGTCTACTTGCTTATTTTATTGCATATGACCTGTTCTCTCTCACTCTCTTTGTCAAACACACACACTGGCAGACAAACATAAAGAGATAATCACATATGATGCTGCCTTTTTTTTTAGCATGCCGTCAGTTGTATTCTCTTATCTTTATGGTGGATTTCCGGCACATTTGTCAACCACATCCTGCGCCTTGACGGCCTACTCAAACTCCTATCCGTCTATCAGACACAACAGACACAACTCCAAAATGCCACACAGGCCACCCACGCTTTATGACACCAAAAGCTTCCCTTTTGAGAGATATTTCGGCTTCAAGCAGGTTAATTCCTTGCGTGAGACTGAAGTTGTGGTTTTGTCTGGTGTATTTTCTGTTCACATATATACGTGTAAAAAAACGCTGCAAGTGTCGAGCTCAAACTTCCAACCGCTTCCTTATTTTTAACCAAGAACATCTGCACCGATTCCATTAATTTGACCAGAGGCACTCACAGCCCATCAGAAGCTCTGACGCACGCCATGTTTGAGAAATAGCTCTCTAGCCGGAGGCTGTTTCACCACAGAGGCTTAACTTTGTGCTACAGGCCCTTCTGCTTCCTCTTCTCAAAGCTCGTTTCTCATCGCTGACAGGACTGGACACAGTGTTTTAATAATTGTGTGTTTAAGACTGCAAACTCAGTGATCAAAACTTTAAATGCATTAACTTCAACTTTTAAAGAGTTCTGGTTCTTTACACGCAGTTCTCTTTATCCGTCACACGACTATCACATTGAAAATATGGTTTGCAGAGAATTTAACACGAGCATGGAATTAAAATGTTAGCCCTTTGCTCCCAAAATCCTAAATCCTAATCCTGCAAGAATAAAAGGACACACCAGAGTGGTATCAGGTGTTGATAGACTTCCATATGGATGTTACCAGGCCCAGGCCTAGGTCCAGGGGGGGCCGAGGGGTCAGGGGCCCCTAAGCCAGAACCTCTTTGTAAAGAAATTTCTTGTTGAAAAAGTGAGTTCAGCAAAAAGTACAAACATTAATATTAAAAGAGTATTCCACTTATTCAGCATTTCTTTAACACTGTCAGACTCACAGTGGACAGTTCACAAAAAAACGATCAAATTTGACACAGCGAGAGAGAGAGAGAGCTTTTTTTTATTTATTCCACACATTATTCCCTCTCATCAAAATATGGCGCCTACATTAACCACAATGGAACTCGAATTCTGAGAGCGCGGTCGGGTTTTATGGGTTTCATGTTAGTAGCACCTAATGTAGCCACAAGCCGCTAGCCTCAAGCAGACAGGTCTGGTGACGTCACTTCTTTCACACCGAACCCCCAGATTTATTTATTTATTTATCTTCAAACTGGTAGTCTTCAGCATCAACCAATATTGTGATCATTAACACATTTGATTGCTTTATGATTTTGTGATTTGTTTTCTGTTGTTTTATAGATCCAATTATTCATCAGTTAATCTAAAACATAAGCATACACTAAAATATAATTATCTGCAGCCCTGATCCATTTTATTATTGCAAGTTTGAACTTAAGATTTGATGCTCCATGTTTCGCTATTTGGTTTTTGGCCAGCAGTTGGTTCAGTTTCAATTATTGTTGTTTGACTGATTTTAGTGTCCAACTTCATCAAAGCATCGTAGAGAAACTGTAATACGGGCTTTCTCAACATATTACGTAACCCTCCAAACAATGCAGAGATGGTAACAAAGTCAAACTTAAGCAATTAATTCTACTTAAAATGGAGGGAAAACAGCACAAGGAGCCGTCTGCCTGCAGTCCATGTTGAAACACACTGCTGCACGGACAAAAGAAATTCAGCACATAGTCTTTGAATCAACAGTGGTGTTTTAGCAGTAAGGCGACATCCAAACATTTGCAACTGTATTATTGACTAGCCACCACCCTACACTAACCTCCCACTGGGTTAATTGCTGAGTACCAACTGCACCCTCCTTGTTTGGGCCCTCTGTCTCTGTTAAATGGCCCTTTCACACATTGTTTTTAGTGTACCATCATCTTGAATAATTACCCCTTGTTATGCATTCAGCCCATTCGCTCTAAACCCATGTTTCAAGCACCAGCAGCATGCATAACAATCCCTTATGTCAGCGTCCTTTCCAAAGCCCCCTCCTTCCCCTCCTCCTCCTCCTCCTGCTCCCTGCTTCTCCTTAATGTCCTCACAACAGTCAGAGGAGGGCATGAACAGGGCTCGGCTCTGAACACATGGCCACATACCATCGCTCACCATCATCAACACTCCTGACGCATCTGTGAATGAGCGGCAGAGGACAAAAGGGATCATCGCCGCAGAGCCGACGGAGAGAGTGACCACCATGACCTCATGGGTCAGCTGGGAGCCAGGAATGAAAAGACTCCAAGCAACCCCCGCCCAAACACACACACACACACACACACACACACACACACACACCCAGTGAGCTCTTGGACAACTGAAGCCGCCATGGGAATATGGGAGCGTGGAAGAAGAGGAATCGGCATTCGCCTGCAGGAGCTGAAAGAAAGTGGTTGTGTTTGGAATTCTGGGTCATGCCTTTCTCTGCACATTCCTCTCTATTCTCCCAACAATAAACTGTGTCATAGCCGACACAACAGCCTCCATTCTGGATACCTTGAACCACAAAAAGCCTAGAACCATACGAAACCACGCACTAACCTCCTAAACTCGGGTGATAACATTCTTAAATGGAAGAAGAGTTGTGAAACTATAAAGACGTACTATATTTAAAAGAATCACATGGAGCAGGACGCATCCCCACTGGGGGAAATTACAAACAGAATGTGTCTACACTCGAGATCTGAGCGCTAATTTAAGTTTGGCAGCTACAATTCCCACAAACAGTTGTGGCCTGTGGAACAAGACAGCTTTTCTTGCAAGTTTTGCACAAAAATAATGAGCATATCATCTGAAAATGCCACATTTTTTATTTTTAGGAACCGTGACTTAGGCAGAAAAAAAATATATAACAGGATCAATTTGAATGATCTAAAGTAGGTATCAAACTTACAAAATGTTGTGTTGCACAATCACAACAGTAACGGGTCATTTACTCAGCTGTCAAAAGTGGGTGCATGCTGTAAAAACTGGAAAATCCTTCATTCTGTACATAAACCTGACATGTTAAAATAAATAAATAACTTAGAGAAAACAATTTGAAAAGTTATGTACAGCTGTGAAACAATGAAGGCTACAGGACGCGGCCAAATGTTCATTGGTCTACTCAAACATGGAGAGGTGCAGCTGTAGAGCCATTACTTTGGTCTCTTCAGTCTTTGGGGCTTCTTGCACTTTTTTTCTTTGGCAGTTTTAGTTTGACAGTCACTGGTGCTTTAAGTCTTTGGGTCTGTGAAGTTCAGGTGAACCACTCACAGTTTGCTCTCCTCCTCCTCCAGCGGTCGGTTCAAGCCTGGGATGAATTTGAGGAGTCGCCTGCGGAAGCTTTTCTGTTTGGGCTTCCTCTGCAGTGTGCTGAACCCTCCCTGCTTCTCCCCCGAGGTGGAAGACGACGACGACGACGAAGGTCCCCTCACGTAGCTGCGTGTGCTGGCGCTGCGGGTCAGGTGCGTCTTGGCCGTCAGGAAGAGCTCGCTGGCCGGTCGGAGACGCTGCTGCCTCTGCGGCGGCTGCTCTTTCTTTTTGTCTGCAATGGTGTTGTCCGAGTCCACGCTGCCGTCCACCTGGTACAGGCAGGTCTGGTAGAGAGGGTCATCCTCTGTGGCTGTGCTGAGGAAGCTGGCGCTGCTGCTGGTGCTGCCGGTGCAGCGGAGGGCTCTCTGAGCGGCGGGGCTGGGAGTGCCGAGGCTGCCGTATACACCTGCAGACTCCAGGGACTCGTACACTGCAGCATCACTCATTACTATGCCTACAGGAAAGAGTGGCAGAGTTAGGATAGTGGACTAGCTGCATCACTGAACACACAGGAATGCTAGAAACTATTCAAATGGCAGTAAAGTGGACTAGAGTGGTTTTTTATTTGTATAATGTTTGTTTAATCTGCTGAATGAAAACTAATAAAAATTAATGATTTGAAATCTGGATTTCACTTTGATGTTTTAATACTTGTATTGTTTGTTTTACTGTATGTACAAGCATGTACACAAAGGTTTCTAAATAAAAGAGGATACATAAAACTCCATACAACCTACCATGAACAAGCCTCTGCTCCTGCACCATCAACGACCGATATTCATCCCATTTCTCATGAAGGGTTTGCTACAAAAGGAAGAGAACAGAAGAGATAATGTTAAATAATTGTGACAACAAACCACAACACACTCATGGAAAAGGATCTTTAACTCTACTGAAGTATAAAAAACAATGCCACAGAAAGGTAGGACATATTAATGTAAATCACAACAGGTTGTCAGCTCATGTATAACAAAGATCTGGTGATGTGACACTTTAATATGCAACTTTTAAAAGCAATAAAAGACTAAAGAATAAATGCTGTATTGCTTGGGGAATATTCTCAGACATTCTTTGTGAAACAAGAACTGCATTGACAAATAAGAGAAGTTGCAGGCTAAAACCAACAGGAAGATGACGTATTAAGAGGGCATTCCCAAATACCACTAAGTTACACGCAACTTAATATGAATATCATTGTATCAGTTTTTGTCTTGGTGATGTAGTTGGTATTTCTCAGTAAGTGTTTTTGATTTTCCCCAACATGAATCCACAATGATATCATATTCAATGTGAAATCAACATCTACTAACAGTTTCACCCCAAGCAAGTCAAGTGCAAGTGTGTTCAGCAGCAACGTTAATCTTTAAAACGTTTGGGATTAGTATCTCAGAAAGCGGCTGTGTTGCAGCTCTCACACACTGGTGGATTAAGAGAGGGACAGCTGCTGTAATCTTGGGGGGGAAAAGCCACTTCACAGGCAGCTTTTTAGAAACAGCCACGAGTCAAGAATGTGTGCAGCGATCAGCGAGAGCCTGCTGGAGGAACTGCTGATGCAACAGGTGGTGCTGCTGGGAAGACAGGTGTGATGGGGGGGTGATGTCTATATACAGCATTATAACGTAATGTATGTGTGTGTATGTGGGTGGGTGAGGCTGGGGGACAAACAATCCGGCTGACTCACTGCTGACAAACAGTAAAAAAAACACACAGAGAAGACAAACTCACCTTCAGATACTGAAGCCGGGCCTCCAGCTCTGCTTTTCGGATTGAGTCACTGTAAACCGTCTCCAGCCTTTTAAATGTAAAACCAGAAGGCAACAGAATTAATAAGCGTTAACAGGAAGCGCTTATTAAAACCTACAAGGGCATAAAACGGCGATTTGAAAAACAAGTTGGACCATATGAAAGGCCCTTTTCATAAGACGGTGGCGGGAAGGGGTCTGGTATCAAACGGTTTACAAGCAAGGGGGAAGGATAAGAAACATATACACTTTCCACTCAAGATACTTCAGTGTGGCAAATCCTTTGAGTCACATGAGCGGCTGACCGACTTATAGAGCTTGTTTTCACTTTAACAGTTTATACAGACTTGAGTTTTTAAGTATAATTTGATGATGTCAGTCTATAAACTCCCTGCGTACACTGGCACCTTGATGCGGTTCACCTCACTTCTTTTGCAGCAGCTTTCAAAAGCTCACATACAGGGGCCTCGCTAATTGTCCTTTTAATCTTTTACAAGCAGAGAGGGAGGATGAGGAAGAGAGTGTGGTTCAGATTAAACACCCACTCAGCACTCAGCTTCAAGTGCCAGATATCAACGATGTTTGAGTTACTTAAGCTATGGTTGACAAATCTCTTTTACCTATTAAATGGAGACAAATATAGACTATATCTTGATTATTTTTAAACTTTTAAGCTGCAACTATGCTTCATTAGATGGTCGTAGAGCTTCTGAAACCCTGAAGCCTTTTCAAATGTCAGTTTGGGGGGGGAGCTGCGTCTGACCATTTCTGTAACTGTCTGAAAACTGGCAATCTGACATTCACAACCACATTACACAGCGATTGGCCAGCTGTGCAGAGGTGAGGAAGGAGCCAGTGTTCAAACTTCTCTCTTTAGGTCTTTTTTTTACCCCATTCTTGACAACTTTTTCACGCAAATAACTGAATGTAACACTGCGACTTCCAGGAAAGACGAGTCTGCAAATATGAGCGGTTATCTCTGTATTTAAATGATGTTGCGTCTGGCCCCTTAGACCAGACCAAAAGCCAGCTCAGCTTCTTAAGGGAACATCTTCTAACTGCTAGTTTTGCTCAACCAACAGATATATGCAATTGGCTGTGATAGAAAATAAAGAAAAGCAGCGAGTCCTCACATTTTTGCTCATTTAATAATTTGAACCAGTGATTCTCGAACCTATTCTATCACCCCTCCCCCCTTTAAGAACTAAAAATCCATCCTGCCCATGTAAACTGAATTCAATCTTTATTAACCATAAATAGATTTTGGCACACAAAGAGAGAGAAAGTCAGAGAGATGTGTTTTTCTGTTATTTTTCCCTTTTGAATGGATCTTTCTAAGCTGAGTTGTGACAGGAGTGCTTTGACGCTAACAACACTAAGAAATAAAACAATCAAAATTGCTTCCAATTTTTATGTCAAATTGAACTGGAATAAATGTAATGTATTTATTAATGAATTAAAAACCTGAGAACATTCACTAACACATTCTATATTGAAATTTAATGTCGCTTTCTGTCAGTCTGTGTACCTGATTGTGTTGCCGCAGGCCCTGATGAGCTGAACGATCTCCTTGTGCCTAAATCCCTCCACGGTGGCCTCGTTCACACTTGCGATGGTGTCCCCTGCGCACACACACACACACACACACACACACACACACAAACATCATGTCTGTTAACCAGCAGCCATAAGGTCAGGGTGCACTTCAATCCACTGTGGCTTCAATTACTGCAAGCTGCAGCCAACTGAGGCTCATTTGATTCTAAATGAAACCTCGACACATGTGCAACACAAATGTGGAAGGCCATGCGTGTGCAGTCGTGGCAAATGGCTCGTCACTGAACTGCAGTCACCTCATTGGGAAGAAGCTTATTTCAACATGTTAAAGATAAAATTAATGATCAAAGTTGCTTCCCAAAAATATAAAAAAAAACACTTAAAAAAGGAGGAAATGAATTACAGAGACGTGCAGATGTAAGCAAATACATTTGAGCTCAATCTACAACCAATGAGAGGAATCAAAGAGCCAAACATGTTCCAAAAGAAAAAAATCATTATAGGGATGATAAAAAGTTATTATTACTATGTTGAAAGCGAGCTTGTTGCGCTTTCTTTTGTTATGTTAAAACCACCTATGTTTATTTATATGAGTCACACCATTCCACTTTAGACCCTGCAGTTATTAGCTGTGGTGTGAACTCTCATGCGTGACAACAACCCTTGTGAGGTTTCAGCACAATGTCTATTTTCCTCTTTCAAAAACCACCGCTTAATCTGCTTCATGCAATGAAGTCACCGCGTTCGCAGCAAGGCAGCAGGGAACAATAGTGCAAGTATGCGAAGAATGTAGAAGTGAAACTGAAGTGACATACGCAGGATGGATGAAGGAGGGAGGTGGCTGAATCGGAGATCACCTTCCTTTTTCTTTTCCTTTATTGACACACTGATTGACGTAATGCTGAGAGCGGCCGGCTTGTGACTGAGCGGTCATGAGTTTTGAAAACCAGAGCCAATTTATAGAAGCAAGTGAACAACCGCCGCGATGCTCTTCAGCACAGACCTTCTTTTTCTCATCTTGCTTCAACAAATATTTTCTTCACTTAACTAATAAACACAGAACTTCTTGTGCTGGTTTATTAGCACACTCTTTCTATCTTTGAGGAATTCCTTTTAAAAAAGACCCAAAAAGGAAGCGAGCTGTTATTTGCCAAATACAAACAACACTTCATTTCAAAACTGCCATTTGAGAGGTTGTCTTTGCTTTACTCTATCTGGCACAGTGGTGAGAGGAGCTGGCACTGACGTGTTGGCTGAAATAGCCGCTCACTTGTTTGTTGACTGGAAAATGAGTAGGCGCACAGTCATATTTGTACTTCCCTAAACAGCCGGCTGAAAACACAAAGAGTGCTTTTGTTGATGTACAGTTTGTGGATTTTAGTTGGAAAACACAAAAGAGGATGAGCTGAACCAAAAACCTCTTCACACACACTCACTTCCCCTCACGTCTATTATGAGCGTTTTCCCAGGATATTTTAAGGCTTCGATACGGCTCAAAGGAAAATAGAAACACAAACTCACCAACTTTAAGTCCTGCTTCCTGAGCCGGGCTGTCATCGTGCACCTTACACACAAACGTGCACATCTCCACCGAGTTTTGGTCCTGATGGTGGAGGCCGTAAGTCTGAAAGAGACAGAAGAATCACACTGAACCACAGAAGCTTTATGAATACTTCCTTACGCCTCACATATAGGAATGATCTTACACAATGTGATTGATGTCAGCAGTTTTGAAATCTTGTAGACATGCATTTCAACACTGATAAACCACTGAATGGCAAGCTGAGGAAGTCATGGCAGACAATGCAGGAAAGCAGATCGTATCACTGAACGTGCAGAGATGTGGCACAAGCATGCAAAGCAAGTTTCACTTGTCTGATTAAACAGAAACTGTTGGTAGACGTTTTAATGTCAAACATTTGAGGGTAGATTCACAGGAGCCTGTATGTGTATCGAAAGGGTTCCTCCTGTCCATACTTTTTTTGTAAGAGAAGGGGGACAAAAGCCCTCCATTATGTGCATAAATATACTCGAAAGTTGCAGAAATTACAGCTTTAAATTCATCTGAAAATAATTTGAGGCTTCAGCAGACTGAACTAGAGAGGAAATCTTCCAAAGTTACAGTCTTTATAGTACAAAATTCCCTCTGTGTGTGTCTGTGAAAACACTGTTCACAGAAGCTCAAAGAGGGAATACTAAAAACAAAAAAGAACAATAACTCTGGATGATGACTACTCATACAATCTTTACTTGAACATTGCAATATATGTCTGCACAGAAAACACATCTGATCTCTTTACAGACAGTTTCTTACAGAGTCAGATAACTCTTTCAGCATACAATAGATTAGCCACTTTATAAACCTGCTGCTGCCACAAAACTCATTAAGAAACTGCTCCACAAACACAGATCACAACAAGCGAACCAAATACCAGCACCACCTCATTACATATCTAATATTTTGTTGTCTTGGGAACCGTTTTTGTTACTTCCACATGCATTTGCATGCTCTTCCTGGTTTCAGCCACCACATTCTCTCTACAGAAGGTCACTGGAGGCAACAGATACACTTCCTCTTGTCACTCAACTATCAGTCAGTCAAGATGCTGCTTCTGAGGGAGCCAGTAACTCTGCACCTCGACTAACAGGTCGAGAGACTCGAAAAACGATGGGAACGTCTCTTGAAAATAAAGCCCAAGTTATTGAGCTTCCCATCTGTTACAGTCAGTCAAGTGTTCCTATTAAGACATGGATCCAACTTGGATGAGTGTCTCTTATGGAAATTTGCAATGATTCAAATCTGCCTGTCTGCGTTTGCTGCTGGCTCACTGTGAGCTTCCTTTACAGCAGCCTAAAAGATAAACCATCCAAATATCGCTGAGATGCAAACATCATATTTACATGCTGGATGCTCAGCTCCACATATGTATTAACATAACAGGCACCGAGGGAGGGAAAACCACCAGGAAACACTCTAAAACTCATCTCTCTCTCTCTCTCTCTCTCTCTCTCTCTTGTGTGTTGACCGTCAAACTGGCCCTCATGATCTCACTTCCTTCTGGCCACAGGCAGGCAGGAAGGGCGGGAACCTCCATCGAAACCGTAAATAGAACAATTTGTCTTTTCCTCAATGCAGCCCTCCACTTCAAGAAACACTAACCGTCCCAGAACACATTACATTATCCGCATTACTGTGAAAACACTCAAACCCACATTTAACCATTTCAGAAAACTATTTAAAGAATGAGGTCTGCACAACAGAGCCGACATTGTGAGGCAGTGCTTCGGGGCGACGTGAGCGTGGCGAGAGAGATCTGTGAGATACTGAGGTCAAATGTGTGAAGCGTCTGCCTGCTGAGCCGGTGAGAACGAAGCAGGTATTACATGGGAAGCGTGTGAGCAAACCACAGGGCTTAAAATAAACACCGGGAGAGAAAGAACCCATCTCCTCTTCAGTCATATGACTAACATCAATGAGTTATTTGACTGATGCATGACCTTTCAACCCCCGGACGCCAGCGCAGGCAAACGTTGAGATTAAGAGATTTATGGGATAAGATGTACATGTTCCAGTCAGTCAGGCATGATGATCGGTTCACAGGGAAGTGGCCGATCAGGGAAATCCTGTTAAATGGCACTCGGGAGGTTAAGAAGTCTTACCTGGATCTCAAAGCCAAACGTCTCCTCGTCCTTTTTCTCCAGGACAACCACCTTTCTGAAAAAAAAGGAAGAGATTCCGTCAGTTTTTTACTAACTACTACTCTTTTCTGTATACACTTCAGCTCAACTTCTTTTGTATCCTCAGATTTGGCCGAAGCAGATGAGTCTTTTTGTGAAATTAACATGAGCTCCGAGGAGCATCTGTTTTGATAATCAATGAATCGCTGTCGATAAGTCACTTTTAAAGCGGAAATGCCAAATATTTGTTGGTTGCAGGTTCCCAGATGTGACAAATGGCTGCTTCTCTTACATTAAAAGTAGAGATTGTAGAAATTAAGTGTTGCATATTTACCTTATGATAAAGTAGAAGAATCAAGAGGAGGGGAAAAAAGCACAAAAGGGTTGTATTCAATGCAGAGCTGAAACTATTAGTCTATTAATCAGCAACCATATGGATAATTGCTAAGTTGCTTTGTGTCATTTTTGGTGTCAGCTTCTCAAATGTCAGATGTTTCTGCTTTTCACTGTTTTATATTATTGTAAATTGGGGTTTTGAACTGTTGGTTGGAAAAAAACAAAACAATTGAAGACGTCACCTTGGGCTTTAGGATATTTTGATGAACATTTTCACAGAATATAATAGTTAGTTGCAGCCTTGCTTTCAGGGTTATCTACCCAGAGATTGGGTTTTTTGTTTTTTTTATGAAAATCACCTTAAATCTGAAACCTCAGCTTCACTCTATCACTCTAACTAGAGCTGAACCATATAGTAAAAGCATCAAATTGTGATTATTTTGACAAATATTGTGATGCCGATATGATTCCCGAAGAGTGGGAATGATATTTTCTGTATCACAAATGTATTTATTCATAAAAACACATGTGACATTTTTTGGGGTCTGTACCAAATAAACATGTTTTCGTAAATCTGGAGAACAAGAGTTGTAGATCAGGTCAAACTACAGTGCTTTAATATAATGCTGTTTTATCAGACATTTTACCTTTTTATAAAAAAAAAAAAATGCAGCTTCTGTGATTTGCACATTGTAATTTTTGATAATAATTTGATTAATTGTGTAGTACTAACTCTAACATTGGACTTGAACTGCAGTAGAACCAGAGATACAACTTCTTGTACTACCACTCCCCATGTAAACAGCCTCTGATGTGTAAAAATCAGTGGAGCTCCCCTTTAAAGCAAATAAATATGTGATTTAATAAGCATACCCATCAGCTTTTTAGTCTGATGGTAATGGTGACATTTAAAAGACTCAGAATCATTTATAAAATAACATTTTTGTACTTTAAGACCAGGATGCGGAGGAGGTCGACAAGATGTTTACGTCCATCTCTGGATTCCTCTCTTCCATGTCCATCCTTATCTAAATTGCATAATGAGATATCTCTGCTGGCTGCACAGGACTTCTTCTGTGTCCAGCAGCATCTGGACGTCACAGCTAAGCGTACAGTACAAGGGTCTGTTGGACTGAGGGACGTCAGCACTGCATCCCTCATGCAGGGGCAGCAAAAACGCATGAAAATTCATGACAAACCTCAAGAATATCATGAATAACAATGCCAGCCATCGTTACAGATCACTGTTTGAATCATGGGGGGGGGGCGGGGGGCTTTTCACTCTGAGGGGGCGGCTCACTTGTTTGCAGGAGGGAAGGCTGTTGCCATGAAAACAATGGGTGTGAAGACAGTGAACGATTAGGGGGATTGTACCTTTGTGGTTCTGGTGACTGTGTGAGGGGTTTCCACTTCTGCAGCCCGCCACCCTGCCGGGAAGAAACGAAACAAGACATGGAGCGTGTCAGACACCTGCGTAAGATGCATGCGTGATTACTCATGAGGGTTTCCCCCGCACCCCACCCCCACCCCAGCATTTCCTAGGCACACCTACTGTACACATCAGTGCGTCGACCGGTCCAACGAGTCCTGAAGCTGCACGTGTGCGCCAAGCTTTGTGTTTGTGTTTTTAAGCCACTGAGTTATTATGCCGGTATAAAACATCAGTACTGAAACCCGAAATACGTGTCTGGCTGCTCTCTGTTTACTTCAAACAGTCACAACATCAGAGAGAGACCACAGAGGGCCTAAATTTAGCCTTTAATTTCACACAAAATCAGCTGCCTGCAGGCACTCAGACTGTTGACCCATCTGAAATTTTAGATCATTTAGGGCAAGTTTGTACAGATTCCAGCCTATTACAGAAACAAATAAGACACAGTGGTGAACACTGGGCTGGAATAACTGCCACAATAACCGCATTGAGTGAAAATCCAAGTCAACAGTAGGTCAAGACCCGGCCCTACCTGACTGTGTAAATAAGGAAGGCATCTGTCCAGAAAGGCTCCACTAAATCACTCACATTCAATCCTCGTCTGTTCCAACTCAATCACGTTCAAATGCTGCTCCTATGAAAGGGCTGCTTTGTGCCACAGTCTCTCTGGGTAGTAAAATGTTGCTTTCTTTATGTCTCCACACTTACAGAATTGTCCCACAGCCGTCTCAATGAGTGCATTTATTCCCACATACCCACAGAGACCAACGGAGGCGGCTGGAGCAGGATCTCCGTGCCTGTGTGCGCACAATGCACTGTTGTAGCCCTTTCGCTCCAGCTACTGCACACTAATGTATGTATGCATGCATGTATGTATGTATTGTGGATGACTGTGCCTCTCTTTACAGTACACTGTTGCAACAGTTCAAACTAACTGGGGATTTGTTCTCAGAAACTGAAAAGGAAGTTGCAGAATGGAATCAGTGAGCTTCATGAGACACAATAACCAGGAAGATTTGCCAATTGACCACCAGCAGTGCCAACTTCCAGCCTGTATTAGGCAACGCCGACTAAAGCTGATGTCATTCTGGACCATCAGAGAAGGAGGGGGGGCCTGTCAGTCCTGGGTCCTGTACTTCAATCATTCAATTAACTAATCCGGTCAAGCAAGTTGTTATCAGGTTAAAACGTTTAATTTGTTTACCTTGGATGATGTTTGCCGCAGTGTGCTCTTATTTTGAAATGAAGGCAGCATGTAAAAGTTATCTTAAAGCTGAATAAATGGCACTGTCTGATTCAAATGTGTACAAGTGAGTATACAGTCTGTACTTATGAGTTCAAATGACAAATTTCCCATCATAAAGTCAGTTTAATTACTTTCTTTTGGTCTTTTGACCTCAGTTTTCTAACAACTACAGTTGAGTTTATGTGTTTTTCCTCATAGTACTTATATTTTGTTGTATATTTTAGTATTTGGGTACCACAAAACTATTATATAGTTACACCAGGAGCTTGTAAGGGTTTCTCAATTACCTACATGTAAAAATCACCTCTAAAATCCTAATCATATCTACATGTTCCATCATCCCTCACAGGAAAGAGGAGTCATTATACTTGATAATGAGTTATTCTTGGACTGTTGTTTGTTGACAAGTCCACATATTAAGTAGCTCACAGCGCCCCGGGCTGTCCCTGACACAGCAGAGACCAGATTCAGTGTTTGGGTGGTCCACACTTGCCCCAGGATGGGCTACTGTTGGCCTTCAGTCAGATGCCCTCTACAGATAGTGTGAACAGCCTTCCAGCAGAGCTTTCCCAAACATTTTCCCATCTGAGTAAACTTCATCCCACTTAACTCCAGTTTAACTTTAAGACGAGGTAACACAAAGTTCAAGGGTTGACCAGCCACAATTACAAAATGATCTCTTCACCCTCCCCCCGTGAAACGCAAATAAAAAAGTGTTGATTTAGCAGAAAAGCCACAATCCAAAACCACAAGTGGAACTGGACATGAATTGATGCTAATGAGGCAAATAATAGCTTCTGCCTCTAGAGTGGAAAAACTTAATATTGAGCTAAATCTAACTGTAGAAAAAGCTCACAGAAATACATTTTAGAGTGCAGTTTTATAAGATTAAAATAACCTCAGACTAAAAAGACCCCCCCCCAAAAAAAAAAAAAAAATGAATGAGGGCACAACATAAAATAAAAAAAAGGTTATGAACACAAATGCACTTCTTACTTTTTTGAAGTTCCTGGGCAGAGTCCCTCCAGAGTAAGCCAGAGTCCTGTAGTTGTAAACCTCCGAGGAGTTGGTCGGTAGCTCCATCGTCCTGCAGCTGTCTGACTTTGACGAGGGGAAATAGATGTCGTTGTCCTGGGATGAGTGTCCACTCTCTGGCCCGCTGGAGTTCACCTTCTTCAGCCTCCTGAACGTCATGCTGAGGTTGGTTGAGGTTGAAGTGGGGAAAAAGTTGTTGGAAATAAAAAGATATAAAGAAAATATGTTGTTGTCCTGTGAAGAGAGAGATGCTGGCCGAGTCGTTCGCTTCAACGTGGAGGCAACTTCACTTCAAAAGTGAGTTCAGAGCGTTTCTTCTGAATAGGCTGCGGAGGCGGGGACTTTATTGTGAAGGACACGAATGAGTGCCAATAGCGACGTTGACGTGCATCCTTTACGCTGCCTTCGGGTGCGCCTCGGATTTTTTTCTGTGTCGCGTTTAGGAAGCTGAGCGTGAGCAGCTGCAAGTGTTGTTTTGTTTATGATTATCAGTATAATCCAAGACAGAGGGCAACAAGAGAATGAATCAGCAAATGTTTGGATAATCGATTAGTTGTTTTAATCTTTTTTTTTGGTAATTTCTAAAGCAACAATGACAATCATTCACTAGTGTCTGCTTCTAAAATGTGAGGATCTTCTGCTGTTCTCTGTGTTATTTCAATGTAACCTGAATATATTTGTAGTTTTGTACAAAAAAACCCCCAAAACATCTGAAGATCTCACCTTGATATAGAAATTTTGCTGGACATTTTTCACTCTTTTCTGATAATTTATAAATCAAACGATTAATGTGTTTATCAAGGAAATAACATTCAACATTAGCTTCAGACATAAATCAATGTTTATATTGAGACTTAAAGGGGAGAATTAACTTACCTAAGTTCAATGAATAGTTGTGAACAAGCACCACTCATTCCTTACAGTAGAAATCGCAGTAACTTTATTGACCTGGAAGATTTTTGTGTGAGTTCTCATCAGTGATGGTATGATACAAGCTTGTGGGTTCAAATTCAACTTATATCTGTGAAGCAGAGCCCCGCTGTTCGAGCTTCACTGTGCAGAGTTTGAGACTCACGTTCATTCATTCTGTGCCCACGTTAAATCCGAGTTTAAGTTACATACAAGCATGATTTTGTGACATCTCCACCTGTTTGGTAACCATAAAGGTCCAATATGCAACTAATAAAACCATGACGTGGACATTTGAAACTTCCTCGACACATACACTGAGAAAGACTCAATGGGCCCGCTGGGAGTGGAAGTATTTTTTATTAAAACATGTCCTGAGGTGCTCTTTAAGGCTTTTCTATATATAATTCAATGAAACTGAGCCATGCTAAGGCACATGTGTTTAATTCTTGAAATTGATGGCTTCTTTTATATGCAAACAGTTGTTTAAATCACTCTGAGCAGCAGCTGTTGGCAAAGTTTCCAGACATACAGTATGTAATCATGATTTGTCCAACAGCATCTGAAGGCAGCATCTGTTGCTGGCACACAAACCTTCTCACTAAAGTTAGGTGTGCTATTAACTCAGAACAAACTACTATTTATTCTACACACAGATCCTGTCTTTGACAACAAAGAGATTAAGTTGTACAATCAGAATTTTAGTCTAAGAGAAAACTATTATTTTGAGTCAGGGGGAACGTGAACATGTTGCAGCCATCTGTGGGCATCAGTAAAAAGTAGATGACGCCCCCTTGTGGTGGACACAAATAGTAATTTACCACATAAGGAATTAAACGAAAGAAGTATACCAAACGTTGAAGTCCAGATGATTTATTAAAATCTTTACACAGTGTATTATTTCAGGCATATTACATTAACATCTTCCAGATACATTGAAATGATATGACTGAGAAAGCATTTAAATAAGAACTACATACATTTAAAACTGGTCTGAACCAACCAATTCAAATCCGACTCCTCCAGAAATTTACAAGTTAGAAGTGAACATCTTTCTGCGCTAAACAAGTACTACAAAACACTTTCTGCCTTCACACACACGCAGTCGCTCACACACACACACACACACACACACACAGGAACAGCAGAGTAGGCTGACTGCTGCAGCGGATCAACGTGCAGACCCCTTTTGGCAATGATTCTCCTTTTACTGTTCCCCTAAACACTTTCAAGTATCTCCTAAAAATCTATGGGAAAAAAAATTAGAAAGGGAGGAAAATAATGTCAGCCACAATCTAAAGCGTAATCGCATCTATCCTTCTCTTCTGGTTCCAATTTGACAAGAATATATATATATATATATGTGTCCGGCTTTCACAGCATCTTTACAGCCACAAGCTATACAGCAATACTACGTGGTTTATGTCCAGAGTGCATGCCTACACGATGCTCTGTATGTCCTCCTCCTAAGCCATAACCATAGAGAACAGATGTTTAAAAGGCACATGAAGCTGAATATTCTTCTTTTAGCATGCTATTCACTTTACTTTAACCTTACTTTAAGTTCCTACAGAGCAACATTCTCCATTAACTGTGGAGCACTGAGACGGAGGCAGCGAGAGTGTCGAGTATTGATAAAAAGAGTACATTTGGTCAAAATCATTTTGCCACGATGCAAACATATCTCACCATATAGTTTGCATTCATACAGTTCTATGCTTCAGTTATGTGTTACAGACATGCAGAAAAAGTGTCAGTCCTCTATATACAATCGGCACGTAGTAATCGGGTTTTACTTGTAGTTGAAAAAACCAGATGATTTGCCCTGTGGAGCCATCAGCATACTGGCTTGATTCTTGTGTGTGATGTGAATCTGAAAAGGAAATATAAAAATATAATCAAATCAAAACATTTCTACTAATTTTATTTTATTGCTAATGGGAGATTTTGCTCCAGTATTTAATTTATGGTCTTGCCCTAAAGAGGAAACGGTCTGTGTGGTATATTTACCGTGCAGGGAGGCTGCATCCACGGCTCTCCATCTATCTGCATCGGTAATGCTTTCTTCGTCCTGGGGGCAAAGCAAAGAGGGATCAACAAACTGCATCAGGTAACAAAAATCAATGACCCAAATGTGTAATTAAAATACCAAAAGGAAAGCCAGCATACTTAATTATTGTTATGTAAAGAACCAGCTAAGTATCATCCTCAGCTGGTGATCAAAGTCACATAGAGCCCAAAAGCCGGACAAGTCTGAACACGTCTGCGTGGCAGTTTCTCACCTGATGGTGATCTGTGACGTTTTGGCGAGCCTCACAGCGCTCTTAAGGCCTGTGTATATCTGCCCCATCTCCATGGCTCCTTCGAGGCCGACCACCTCTAGTCGACGATCACTGAGATCTGACGAGAACACACGGACATACTGAACATCCACGGAGCGGGAACGTCGACATGTTTACAGTTATCATACTGTGCATAAACTGGATCTATTACATACATTTATGTGAAATATAATACTAAAACTATATCTGTAACAGTTCAAAGTGCAAATATTTTTAAAGAGGCTATGGGGTCACATGTTATAGGGGACCACTTTTCCAGGTGTAGCAGGAAGCTGTACCCTCCCTGCTCAAGTCCAAACAGCCCACTTGGAGTATTTAACAGCTAAAGAGATAGATATTTCCCTCAGGAACTGGTGGAGACCAAAATCAGACCTAAAAGGAGAGTGAATATCACACAAGTGTACAGAAACTCGACTCAAAATGAATGCTACTGTTGCTCTGTGTCTGCTGGATGTGTAAATAGGCAACAATTTGCAAACAAGTTCACCATATAATATTGAAAGGTCAGTCTCTCTGCTGCCCTCAAGCGGCCAGAGAAATCAGTTATTGCAGGTTTACCACAAGAGCACTAAAAAATACATTAGACCAATGCTGTCATCATGTGGGCTGATGAATCTGATGAATCGTGAGAGCCAGTTTAATTTAATGCATTAAATGATTTGTGCAAATGGCCCCTCCCTTAAAGCTGCATTAATGGCTTTTTTGACCACTGGGGAGCAGCAGATTATTATACTACGTCCATTATACAATCCTGCATTTTAAATGACAATTAAATAACCTTGAATCATTGAGAAAACACATCTGACAAATTATCACCATAAATAAATAAATAGGCAAGCATTTTAGCCAACAGTTGCCTATTTACACATCCAACATTATCATTTATTTTGGGGTCCTGTTTGTGTCTGGCAGACGAGTCCAATATTCACTTTGCTTTTAGCTCTGTTTTTGTCTGTCTGCCATTTGGTGCTGGACAGGCAGCATACAGTGTTTATCAGGACCTTTCTGCTAAAAACAGCTTCCCGCTGCAGCTAGAAAGGGGCTCGATGAGAGCGGAGTTTGTGGGCTTTAACACGAAAACATTTAGATGAAAGAAGTTAAAAGGCTTCTGATAATCTCACATGCACTCTGGTCTAAAGTCACCGTTCAGTAGAGTTGAGGTCAAAGACAAAATACCTTGGGAGGTCACTTTCAGGATTTCTGGGTCGATGATCACCTCAGGCTCCTCCTGACTTGTCAGTCCCTTAGTGTCCCCTTTTTTGGTTTCACCCCATAGGTTGGAGCCACCATGCATGCTGGGAATGTTCAGGACAGCAACCCCTTCTAGAGACACGCCACTGAGATCCAGTGGAGTACCACAGCACTGAAGAGTGAAGAGCAGCATGTGACAGAAACAATGTAAAGCATCAGTACACTGTCTGGTTGTGGGAACAGTTATTTTTCACACTACAGAAACAGTGCAACACACTTGCAATTCTGGTAACGCTGATGCCGCATTCTCACCTCGATTGTTAGACTTTCGCTCAGTTTTTTGCAGGAAGCAGAGATGGTTTCTGAAGTGGCAAATTCAAAATACCACAGCTTGTTCTTCATTCTGCAGTCACAAAAAAAGTGTGTGTGTTTTTTTTTTTAGGTTTTAGTGAGATTTTAATTTCATTTTCAGGTTTAAGAACACACAGCTTTTAAGGAGGAGGAGGAGTCAAGCTGCAACCACAGACATCTGCTGTCACCACCTGCATTCATTTTTTTTTTAAAAATCCGTTACAGAAAACAGAAAAAATAAAAGTAAAACTGATGATAAAATAGAGGTCTGCTTTGTTGTTAAAACTGTGTTGTTATTACTATGAATGGGGTATTTCTCTTTGTTTGTTGTTCCTGAGGAAGTACCCTAGAGACTGAATGTGTTAGACCAAACTGTTTAAAGCATACCTGCTGTTAAATTTCTGGGGATGTTTCTCCCTCATTGTGTGAAACCGGTGGGCAATGGAGGCATCCTGTCAACAAAACACAACGATCCAAATGATCCAAACCTGAAAAACTTCCTCTCGTGTGATATATTTCTGAGAAACTCACAA